ATGATGATGATGATGATGATGATGATTCGAATGATGATGATGATGATGATGATGATGATACCATAGGATTTTAATGTAGAACGGATATAAATTGTGTTACTTCTCCCAGGCGCATTGCTTGTTGTCGCTAGATGACACAGTGAGACACTCGCCTTTCCGTTACCCTAGTGTTTCGACAAATTCCAGATCTGCTTCCTTTTTAGCATGGACATTTCATTCACAAAATAGCGTTATGCCACATGGCTAACCGGCAAAACTCCACAAGACCCGTGGATAAATATTCCGGTGCTGCTTTGACATTCCGATGCCACCCAGCATGCAAGGTCCCGACCACGGAAGAAATCACGAAAAACTCAAGAACCGGCGGGCAGACAACGAAGGCGAAACTNTCGTGGAACAAATAGAAGTAACTGCTGAAAGTGAAAATGACTCCACGGAGATATACAGAGGATCAATATACCTGTCAACCTGTGCATACAATTTTCCGATGCTTTGGAGCATATAGTAATTTCGTCAATATTTACACTTTCTTCCTAGTTCCATTTCTGCTTGTGAAGTGACCCGATAAAGGCATTCGTGTGCTGTCAGTTTCCGCCGCATCATTTGCGTATTCAAAGTTGTTCTTTGCTTTATTTTGAGCATACAGTAATTGCAAATCAATCTATTCTAGCGGATTTATTGCGTATCTCCGAATAATTCCAACCACACAGAATTATGGATAAAATAAAACAACATTCTTGGTAGCCACAATTATCGACATTTGAATGGATAACCTATCAGATAGTCGGAAATGATGGTAGTTGTTCAGATGGAATACGCTTGTTGAAGGATATCGAGACCATCGAAGGATATTCCATTCCTAATGGACACGGATCAGGAGAATTGCGTTGTTCAACAATATGCAGCAGTTTGTGTACTTGGATGTAATTGGTGTAAACCGAAGCTCATCATTATGTGGGTGTATTAGCTCAATTCTATCCTATTTGTTTGCGTCGGAGATTAACCAATAACATTTCAAGTTATTTGAGAAACACCAATGACGAGTCATACAAATAAATTGTCAACCTTAACAAAGAAACGTACAATGAATATAACCGTATAAATTGAGGCGGTGCATCTGGCATAATCAGAGGACAGGCAAAATGACCACGAAGATCAGTATGCTCTTGACGACTTTAGTGATTGTCTTTTCCGTCTGGAGATTTCAAATACCACACTCAGTTTAGGGTTAGGATTGCTACGAAATAATTTCACTTCTCATTTCGCCTGTTTAGATGCGGATCCTAAGCATAATGAAACCGAATGTGGTCCAGCCAATGTGGATGTGACTGAACCACAAATGTCTTGGCGAGTTCCACCGACCGGAAAGAAATTTACTAGTGGGACAGAATGTGCATTCACATTTACTGTCAAACCGGAATTCATTATAGATTTTGAAGTAACAGGAATGAGCGTAAGTTGGAAAGCCACCTCTGTTTTCCAATCGCACTCATTTTGTGATTGATAGTTCGGAGGGGGCGGTAACTGCGACAACGACTATGTCATTTTCGGCTCCACTATGGAAGAGGCACAGAATATGACGAATAAGGTTTGCGGCGCTCGGATAGACAACATATTTCCGCCAAAAGGACCCAAATTATACGTCACAACAAAAATCACAAACGTGCTTGACAAATCTTTTCTAGAGGGAACCATTCATAAACGTGAGTTATTGTGTTTACTGTATACGGTT